CCCCAAAACCCCAAAACCCCAAAACCCCAAAACCCCTGGCTTCTTGAGGTAAGCTGAATGATTTAATACTCAATTTGTTTTTGAGAATTCTTCTTTTTAAGTTTCTTCTTGATATGATCAATCATCTCTCTTTCATGTACCATACTTTTGGTATGTTCTGTTTCATGAAGCATTTCCTAGACACTATAAATCTCCTAGCCTACCTGATGCTTCTGCCTTAGGATCTTGTCTTGGTAGTGGGTTTTAACTTGCTGGATCTTTTGGGCTCTAAAGTTAAAGTATAGACTTGCTTCTCATTCTTTTCAATGATCCTATCAATCAACTTTTCTCTTCTGTTAATATCCTTTCTCTTGATCATGCTGATCTTGTTCTTATGCTTTAGCTCAGTTTCTTGGTTTTTCTGCTTCTTAAACTCTAGGTAGCTCTGCTTACATTTCTGAATATGGTTGACATTGGCAGAGCGCTTCTTGTTTCGTTTGTCTATATCTTTGATCACCTCAGAGATCTGTTTGATTCTTTCCTCTTGGCGCTGCTTGATCCTCTACTTGGTTAGGGAAGCGAAATACCTTCTGCTGTTCAAGTTTCTTGTGGGATTTGTATTTAAGCATCTGGCGGTTCTCTCTTAGGACAAGTTTGGACTGTTCATGTTTCTTTTTATTTTTCTAGCAGTCTCTCTTTTTCACGGAATTCTTTTTCGAACTGAGTCTTGTGAAGTCTCTCCCTAACAGCATTGTAATGTTCCTTGGCTTGATCACAGTTGCGTCTCTGGATCCGCTTGCTCTTGGCTCGTCTTTTTGAGATATCTTCATTGATTTTCTGGACTTTATTTAGAGCTATGCAAAGCTTCTTTATTGTAACTAGAGCTTAGGAGACCAGCTTACTTCTTTAAATTGTTCTTTTCCTGTTCAAGTTGGGTCTTAAGACGCTTGTTATGAATATTCCCTAGATTAAGTACAATTTGTTCATCCTGGTAATTCCTTTCCTTATAAAATCTTTCCATTTCCCTCTGAGACTGCTTCGCTTTATTTATAAGCCTTCTCTCGAGAGATGGAGGCTAGTTTTTCACAGTTATTCATAGTCTGTTCATAAGTTTTCCGATGCTTTAGTTTTTCAATGCTGCCTTTCGCATAGAGTTCTTGACACTTTTTGACTTTCTTGGTCCTTTCATCAAGCTTCATCTGGAGTTTTACTTTGTATTCAAGCTCTTCGTATTCAAGTTTGTTTCTACGTTTTGTGAATCCTTCTTGTTTCTTGGAGCAACTTTTAGTCTTGCGAAGGAGTTCACTGTATTGCTCCTCAGGACCCTTAAACATGGATTCTATAGAATGATTCTTAGGGCTTACCGTAAAGATTAGATAAGGAGCTATCCTGGTACATTGACTTGTTCGTCTTTGCTAAACTATTACACCTAATTTCTACCTGTGATTGGTCTCCTGGTCCTTGGAGCTCTATTCCCTAGCCTTCTCTTTTTATGTTTAGCTGAAATACCTCTCTTTTTGAACAAGTGTTTGTAACCACCTGTTCTCGTGATGGATTTATTTAGGTACTCCTCAAATTCTTCAGGATCTTTCTTTATTTGGGTCACCCAATAGCTCTGATCAACTGCTTTCTCTGAGTTTTCCATTTGGGGGTCAGGTTTTGAAGGGCTTGAGGGATCATAAAAGTTCGAGCTCAGGCCTATACAACAAATTAATTTTCTATATATATAACTAAACTCTTTCAGTAGTCTTTTGAGCCAACTAAGCTCCAATCACGATATAGACTGACTAAGCCTTGTACTAAATCTGGTAAGTACCTTTTTTCTTGTCTGAATTCATAATTTAATTTTTAATTTATTTTCGGGGTTTTGGGGTTTTGGGGTTTTGGGGTTTTGGGG